AAAAAAAAAAAAAACTTTAGAAACAAACGATACAAACCAGAATGAGCGCGATTTGCCTTCTGTCTTCGCGAACGAGATGTCCTCTTCGGTGGCGGCTTCCGGCTTCGCGATCTGGAACTTCGGCGACCAACGAGAAGAGCGAAAATGGAGCTGGAATGTCGGGAAGGAGAAGAACCTGAACAGGCGAAATGAGAAGAAGCAGGCGACAAATGAAATAGGGTTTAGTTTTATCGCAGAAAGAAGTGATCTCAGCCGTCCGATTCCAAAAAATTCGCTAAAATGGCGCGGATGCTGAACCGGCCGGTTATCCGAAACCGGGACCGGTTCGGCGGTTCGGCGGTCGAACCGGCGGTTCGAGCGGTCGAACACCGGTTTTATGATTTCCCGGTTTTGTTTCGAACCGTAACCGGCTGGCCGACCGGTTCACGGTTCAACCGGTTGAACCGGCCGGTCCGGTCCGGTTTTCAAAACCTTGCTCAAGTCATCTCTTGATTTCAAGCTAAAAAGCACTTTAGGGTTCCCGTGCCCTCTCTCTCTCTCTCGCGCGCTCACGCTCGCGCGCAAACCTTCAAGCAGATCGTTGTGGTTAGCTGTCATTTAGGGTTCGGTTTACCTAGAAACCGTTCTTGTTTCGCATAACAATCTCCAGAGAAGCCTAAATCCTTTGGCGTTTTACAGTCTTAATCACATTGCCATCCATACTTCTTTGTGTTTTTTGGATCCCTGCTGCATTTGTGGATTGTTCAGGGATTTCGGAGAGAATGAGAAGGGGCTTCCCCCGTTATGAGGAGCGGCTTTCTTTTTGCTACGAGGGCAAAGCTGAAATCTTTCTTAATCGAACCTCTTTGGCCTTCGGCTGGTTTCTGCGACAATCGGTACAGAACAGATGAAGAGTGTTTGAGGGATGATCGAGAAAGTTTACTTTTTGGACCCATTTCTGATGAATCCCTTCTTGGGCTTCCTTTCCCAGCTAGTGCGGAGGATGAAGAAGAGGAGAAAGATAGCTGCAGTCCTCGTAAACGATTTTGGGAAGGGATTAGAGCTGAAGCCAATCATATATTCCAAATTCTCCAGCAGGATGGGCCGGGATTCAATGCCAGGGAAGCTCTTGACGCGCTTCAAGTGATGATCTCTCCTGCTTTGGTGCGAGAAGTTCTACTCCACATACTAATGTCGGTCAATGGAGCAAACAAGCAGCGATGTTCGAGACTGGGGTACAAGTTCTTTGTGTGGGCTGGCCAGCAAGAAGGCTACAAGCACACCCCTAACGCTTACAATCTCGCTATGAAGATTTTTGCCGAGTCCGAGGAGTTGAAGGCCATGTGGAGGTTGGTCGATGAGATGACTCAGAGTGGGCTTCCTGTCACTCCTCGCACCTTCAACATATTAATTTGCACCTGTGGAGAGGCTGGCATGGCAAGGAAAGTTGTGGAGAGGTTCATAAAGTCGCAGGGATTCAACTATCGACCATATAAGCACTCCTTTAACGCAATCCTTCATTCTCTTATTATCATGAGCCAGTACAGGTTGATTGAATGGGTATATCAGCAGATGCTTCTTGAGGGATACCAGCCAGATGTTTTGACCTACAATGTTGTGTTGTGTGCGAAATTCAGGTTGGGCAAGTTGGATCAGTTCCATAGGTTGCTTGATGAGATGCGAGACAAAGGAACAACTCCAGATTTGCACACATATAATCTCTTTCTTCATGTTCTTGGTAAAGGTGATAAACCTCTTGCTGCAGTTGAGTTGTTGAACTACATGACAGATGTCGGGTGCCATCCGAGTGTTCTTCATTTTACTAACCTAATAGATGGTCTCAGTCGAGCTGGAAATCTTGATGCATGTAAGTATTTCTTTGATGAAATGATTAACAAGGGGTGTGAACCAGATGTAGTTTGCTATACAGTCATGATAACAGGATATACAATGGCTTGTGAATTTGAGAAGGCTCAGGAGCTATTTGATCAGATGCAAAAAAGAGGGCAGCTCCCCAATGTATTTACATATAATTCTATGATTCGTGGACTTTGCTTGGCTGGTAGATTTGATGCTGCATGTGCTATGCTGAAGGATATGGAAAACAGGGGCTGTAAACCAAATTTCTCCGTGTACTGTACATTGGTTAGCAAGCTGAGAAATGCCGGAAAGGTTTCAGAAGCAAATGGTGTAATCAATCATATGGTAGAGAGGGGTCACTATCTTCATCTGTTATCAAGGTTCAAGGGGTATAGGAGATGTTAGATAAGTGGAAACAAGTTTGATCGAGTTCTCTAAATGCCTTGATTCATCATCAACTTTTCAAGTAAGAAAGATTCTTTTTTCTTCGATCAACATGTATGATAAATATCTATTTGACAATATTGTAATTTTCTGATTATTTAGAATCCCCTACTTAAATGAAAACCTGCAATATATTGCTACCTAGAAATTGAATAGGTGAAGAGAAAGTTAAGTTGCTTATGCTGTATCAGTAATTGCATTAGCTTGAAGAATGTTTAACAATGCATGAAGCAGCATATTTAACATAACTTAAGAATGGAATATGCTCTTTTCCAACCTGATAAATTAAGAAGAGCAAGAAATTTGAGTTCAGTGTGGTTGTAGTTGAAAATTTAATTGACAAAATCATGCATCAAGAAAACCAAGCATGTCGTGGAATTAGTATATATATGTTATATTTAAAATTTGCCTGACCAATGTTTAAAATTACATAATCGGGTATTGAGGCGTTTTTCATTTGTGAGGCGAGGCGTAAGCCTTAAGGCGTTTTGAGGCATAAGCCTCAAAATCAAAAAATTGCATAAACATAAAATGATAAATTTTTTATATACTTATGAATAAATAATATGAAACATAAAAAAGTCATAAGATATGAAGTGAAATCAAAATATCCCAATAATAAGACAACATGAAATATAGTTCAATTCAAATTATATCTTTCCCAAATCACAATATGCTATTTAATAATCTAAATATGAACTCAACATCCTTGACTTGGTCAGATGCTTCAACTAATTTTAAAAATACAGTACCATAAGATTATTAATGAGGACGTTGATCAAATTTCTATGCTTTATATCATATCACCCATTTGACATAATTGTTACACCTGTTTGGGTCCAAGTCCTCTTAATTTCTTCAATGCTTTTATTAGTGCTATTCAACTCCTCCTTTAGAAATCATGTTCTCAAATCATATATGATTGAAAGTTTGAACCCTCTCTCAAATGCTCCAACTGAATGAATAATGTTGTAATAAATAGGTGATGTTGCACATTAAATGCAATTGCATTTTCATAGAAGAATCTGCCTATATCCTTACACACTTTTTTTCGTGCCTCCCTTGTGTTCTCTGGGGCCATCTTCTGTGTAGTAGGAGGTCTATCCTCTAATGTTTGCACCATATAATGATCCATGGGACCTAAAGCACCCCTAGATGAAATGGGATTCATCGAAGAAGATGAATCCTTAATGTTACGCTCACTCCCGTAGCAGGAGCTAACATCAACTCTATCCTCAAACTGCTTCTGTGCAAGATGCTTTAACGTGGTAGACTTATTCATGTATTCTATATCTTTTCCCTTACAGTATCAAACACTTTGGAGCATAGTGTAACAATCTTGTGAGACCCTGAAAGATGCTCCTTCATCCTAGTCACACCACCCTTCACAATTTTGTCACAGCAATTGCATTTCAGATATACATATATTTTATCATTGGCTCTTACATCCACATGAGTACTATGTTTCCATGCTGGATCCTTTCTATGACCTAATACAGCTTTATCCCTACTTCTGACCATCCTTTATCAGAAGAATAAAATAGAAGATCAAAACATCAAGCCACTAAATTAAAAAAAAAACAACCTAAGAGTTTAAGATGTAGCCATCAAGACCTACTAAGTAAATTTTAAATCGTATCCAAAAAATTTTTGTATCATAGAAGATCAAAACATTATTTGTGCATAACTTCCATTAATATTAATGTAGTACATCTCTCCTACTAAAATTTTTGGCATTAATTTATACACATCTATTGAGCATTTATACTTTTTATTATGCATGCCTAAACCACATGTCCACATAAACATAAGTCTGACAAAAAGAAATCTAAATATTACGTAAATAAAGTCCTATCATTTTCATTTTCTTACACTATCAATGGAAACTTGAAAATTGTATGTATAAAACAAAGCAAAATTGCATAAAATTTAAAAGAATAAAATTTCGCCAAAAATGAATGAAAACCAAAGGAAGATGTCGATAAATGCGATGGTATAACAAAAAAATCACATTTGAGTGCAAAGAAGAAGAGGAAGTAAAGCTATTTCACCTTTGTCAATAAACCTTAAACTCCAACCACGAAGAAGAAGAGCTTAAAACAGTCGGTTATAAAAAAAAAAAAAAGCTTAAAGCGGTCGGTCAAAGGAGACTCCAACCCAACTCGCGGTAGAAGAGAACTCTAAGCAAGAGGCAAAGAGAAACTCTCGGTGGAAGGAAGCCGACGCCGATCAAAAGGAACGAAGAGGGGAAAATGTCGCTCGAAGAAGAAGGGAGAAGAACACTCGGTTCGTTTTCAGAAATGACTGAAGACGCAGTGCGCAGGGGGGGGGTGACCGAATATATAAATATTAGGTTAGCTTTTTTTTTTTATTATTATTATTATAAGAGGCGGATGCCTCTAAAACCTGAGGTGAAGTGCGCAGTAAACTTGAGGCGTATTGAGGTGTATGCCTCAATCCCTGATCTCATTGCATGAGCTTTGTGGCTTAAAAGGATGAAATTGTGCTGAGGCGCGCCTCTTATTGCGCACTAACTTATGCTTATTTTACTCATTGAATCTTATATTGAGGCTTTGCTTTCAAAATTCAATTTATTGCTTTGAATAAAATAATCATGGTAGCAGATGATACTTAGATATGAAATTACAGAAATTGTAACATTTATGTAATTAAGACTTATAAACCTTCTGTCTGCTTGGTGAAATATAACATTGTAATTGTCACTTGTGGAGTGTTGTGTATCGCATGATTTAGCTTCATAGAAGAAACTGTTAATTTGTAAATTGATGGTTTACAAACTTTTGTAGCGTAGCATGGTAGATCTGCATTGCTTAATTTAAAATAAAGTAAATAATGCATGCTAGCTTCTTGGCCATGATATTGTATTCTTCTTATGTTTTCTTGGAAACAACACTTGTTAAGATTGCATTTACCCTCACTTTATTGATGCAAGTCTACTTTTTTCTGTCCTATATCTATGTTTTTGCAACTGACTCCACACTTGTACAACGAATGCATTGCAGAAATACGTTTGGCCTTTTTGGCCAATCCGAGGGGCTATATAACTACCATTTTCAGGATTAGTCATAAATGGGGTGCCTATGTTAGTTTGGATCTTTACAATAAAGTTTTTTATCAAGTTCTTTCAATTATATAGTATCTTTTAGCTGATGTCTAATTGATATGATCTTCAGCAGAAGCCAGAAAGCTAAGCATTTGTCACACACCATGATGATCCCCTCCACTAAATGATGCGGGATACAACAGAGAAAAACATACAATTAATGTTACATTTTAAGTTAATAAAAAATCCATCAATATTAGTAATGAAATTTGAACATTCAATTATTATATGGAAGTATTCCAATTATTCCATTTATAAGATATGTATAAACACACACAGCAACTAACAACCCAAAGAGGATGTATGGAGAACATACCCAGCTGCATGGAATGTTGTTCTTAAAGCTTGGAGGAGGAGAGATTTCGGTAATTATGCTGAAATTCTGAACAGAAAACTGAAAAGATCATTCAAAGCATTGTATTATTGGAATAAGAACAAGGTTATGGAGCTTTCAACATTGAAGAATAACTTGAAGAAGGAGATAATGGAATTGCAGATTTTAGAAAGTGAAGATGGCATTTAAAGGAGGAGCTGATGTTATTAATAAGCAAAGTAAGGGAGCTGAATGCAACATTGTCCCGGATATCAATTTGGTGGAATCAAAGAGCTAAAACAAGATGGTTACAAGAAGGTGACACCAATTCCAAGTTTTTTCATGATTGCAACGGCCAAAAGAAATGGTAATCTAATCAATCAAATCAAGGATGAAGAAGAAGGCATTGTGAATGAACAAGAACAAGTTGAAGCAACTTTTATTAAATATTTCCAAAATAAATGGAGACAGAGAATTTGTTCTATGTCGGATTGGCCAGAGAATGGGTTTCAGCAAGTTGTCAATGATGTTGAATGGAATCTACTGAATGCAGATTTTACCCAAGGTGAGATATATGAGGCGGTAAGGAGCTTGGGAAACAACAAGTCTCCTGGTCTGGATGGCATAACCGGATCTTTTATTAAGTTCTATTGGAACATAATTAAGGATGATGTATGGAGAGCTGTTGATGAATTCTTCACTCATGGAAAAATGCATTCTTAATGGAAAGACACATTAATTGTGTTAATCCCAAAGGTGAAGAATCCAATGAATTCGTCGCAATATAGACCAATAAGCTTATGTAAGACAATATACAAGGTAATTGCAAAAATGATTATGAATTGTACCAAATTTTTCTTGCCTAAACTAATTACAGAAGATCAAGTTGCTTTTGTTCCCGGGAGATCTATGCCAGATCATTGCTTATTGGCTCAAGAGGTCTTCAACAAATTCAGATTTTCTAATTGTAAAAAAGGACTTATGGCGGTCAAGGTGGACATGGAGCAAGCTTATGATAACATGTATTGGCCAACTCTTGAAAACTCTTTGAAAAGGTTCAGATTCCCTCCAAAATTTATTATGCTTATCATGGAATGTGTCCAAAAAGTCAGATATTCTATTTTGATTAATGGTAAAAGAACCAATTGGATAGAAGCTTGAAGTGGGTTTAGGCAAGGATGCCCATTGTCCCCTTACTTATATATTCTTTGTACACAACTTCTTTCTAATGCCATTTACCAAAGGGGCAATGATTTGGGTATCAAAATCTCACCCAAATTTGAAAGTATAACTCATCTTCTTTATGCCGATGACGTGTTGATTCTTATTTAAAGATTATCTTAAAGAACTTCTGTGGGTGGACCGGTCAAGGAGTAAATAATATGAAATCACAAATTCTATTTGGGAAATTAGTTAAGAGAAGGCTAAAGAAGAAAATCTCTAAGAAGTTGGGATTTAAGATTGTAAAGGAGATGCATTATCTTGGAATCAAAATGGCTTTGAGAAGATTGGTAAATTCTGATTTCAGAAGTTTATTAGATCAAGCATTGGAAAGGCTGAATGCTTGGGGTAGAAGACATTTAACTTTATCTGGTAGAGCTTTACTTATCAAAAGCTCGTTTCTTTCGCTCCCTATCTTTTTGGCTACACATTCCTTGGTTCCTAAAAGAATTTTATATGAATTTGATCGAATGTGTAGGGATTTCTTATGGCATAAAGATAAAGACAAGAAAGGTTTACATTATGTATCTTGGGAAGAACTTTGTATACCAAAATCACTTGGAGGACTAGGCCTTCATTCCTCGGTTACTAAAGTTGGTCCTTTGAGATCTAGGCTAACTTGGAGATTCATTCAAAATCCTAATTCTTTATGTAATCGTACTATCATTTCTAAATATGGTAGTGATTTATAGCATGGGAAGGTTAGGAGTGGTTATTCAACAACTTGGAAAATTTTGGTGGAGGGAGCCAAATTTTTAAGGAATGCAATTAGATGGAGATTGGTTAATGGTATCAAAGTTAGTATCTTGGATAATACATGGATCTTTGATAAACCTCTTAACAAATGACCAACTTTTGTTAATTGCAATGATCTTCAAAATGAAAATGTTAGCAAGTTTATTTCTGAAAAAGGTTGCTGGATGGAGATTGATGAGGACATCGTCAGCATTTTCGACGCTGGAGATCGACGGCCACGAGCATGAGCTGTATATTGTCATTTTATGTAGTAGTTTATTCTATTTTGATGTTTTTTTCCGCTTTTGCCCTTATGGGCATTGAGTCGCTTATGTAGCCCGGAAGGACATTTGTGTCATTTCTTATTATTTCATTTTGGGCTATTTATATGAGGCCTCATGCATTGTAATTTCAGTTTTTGATGAATGAAAGTTTTAGAGTTCATGTTCTCTTTGTGAGTGCAACCCTCCTCGATCTCTTAGTGAGTTCGTAGGAGAAGCTAGATCTCTTTGTGAGTTATAGGTTTTCTTTTCCTTATATTTTCTTCCTTCTCTTATTCAAATCGTCGTTGCGGAGTTTCAGATTGAAGAAACTTGTGGGAAATTGGATTCTTGTTCCTTGGATCCCTAGAAATCCTCCCTAAGATCTTTCCTCCCTTGCTTCCTACCGCCGGCTCTCCTGAACAGCCCAGGCCCTCGGCCT